GGAAGGGGAAAGGAATGATTTTTCTCTGTTAGCTATAAAACCAGAATAATGCCTCATCCTCGGAGTGTGAATAATTTCTTCTGCCATATAAAGGCAAATTTTATTCTTAAATTCAGGCATTTTAAATGTAAAAGATTACTAAGCATTTGAATACTATGCTCCTTTTTAAGCCCTTTCCAGGCAAAAATATAAACTAACTTGTATTTTCTGTTTTTTCTCCTCCCTTCTCCCTCCCCACTCCCTCTGCTCTGTTACTTATTCTTCAGTTTTTTGGTTTCAGTGTGAAAAAAGCTGATCCCAGGTGAAACAAGGAAAGAGGTTTAAATCCCTTCTTTTCGACTAAGAATTTATCATGCAGAATACGCATTGACTGTGGTGAATGTTTTCCCCAAACAACTCTGACTTCATTAGATCATGTTTAATATTAATGCACTGCAGTCGCTTTTGGCAAGAGGTCCTTTACTTCTCCGTTCTTTTGAACAAAGAATATTGTGGTTGATTTTTTTCCTAATGGAATGAGATGTTTGCTACTATTTGATTTTAATTGCTTTCTTTGTTGCTGTTGTTAATCCCCCGTGGCCTATGAATAGCTGGGACACTGGATTTAAGTTTAGTGTTTTGTTTTGTTTTGTTTTGTTTTGTTTTGTTTTGTTTTTTTAGTTCTGCAGTATTTTCGGGAAGTTAAGCCAACTCTTAGCCAAAAACAGGTTTGATTTTGCTAAGAGGTGCCTCTGGCAGCTCTATATCCTGATACAGATATTTAACTAAGTATGTAGCTAAATGGGTCTCTAAAGTGCAGTAGAAAATTTTGCTATAGTTGAATCCCTTGGATAAAGTTGGGGTATAGCCTTTCTTCTGCAGTAAAAACAAATCAGAGCATAGAGATCATCATTTTGAGCCCCCCCCCACTTACATTACATCATCTCCTTTTTAATTGGCAAGCAAACTTAATTATAAGCCAATATCAGGAGTTTCCTTTCATTGAATTATCCTGTAGGGTTCTGTTTAGTGCAATATCTGTTAGATTAATTTCTGAATGCTGCCTTTTTATTTTATGTATTTTGAAATTAAGATCTTCAAATCAAAGGAATTGGATTCTTGGTTTTGACTATAAGCCAGGCACATTTTTGTGAAATTTATTTCTAAATACTTTATATTTTGATACTATCACAATATTTTTTAAAAATTTAAATTTGATTTTCTAATTGTTTATGATTGTTTATAGAGGTACAAGAATTTTGTAGTATTGACCATATGTCCGACAACCTTGCTACATTTATTTACTATTTTAAGTTTAATTGTATTACTGTTACTACTTGTATTACTTTATGTTTTTTTAGTGTGGGTTTTCTTGTGGCAAATACTTCCAGTTTATAATTCTGGAAATGCCTTTATTTTGCCTTCATTTTTTTCATAAATTTTCTCTCAGTATAGAATTCAATATTGGCAATTACTTTATATCAGCACTTTGAAGCTATAATTCCATTGTTTTCTGACTTTCGTCATTTTAGATGAGATTAGCTCTCAGTTTTACTGTAGTTCTTTTGATAGTAATGCATTTTTTCCTCTGATTTAAAACTTTTTCCCTCTGTAATTTTTAGTGTTTTACTGACATGTGTCTAGAGGTGTTTGGTGGTTTTTTGTTGTTGTTGTATTTATTCTGATTTGGGTTCATAATTTATCTTGAATATCAGTGTAGTATCTTTCATTAATTTTGAAAATTAATTAGCCAATGTTTTTTAGTTATTGTTTCATCCCATTTTCTCTTGCCTTTCCAAGGATGACTCTTATTACATGTATCTTAGACCCTTTTTCTATGTCACATATGTATGTCTCTTATTCTCATCACTGTATTTTTTTTTCTCCATGCTTCAATGTGGGTATTTTCTTCTGGCATATTTGCCAATTCGGTAATTTTTCCTTGGTGAAATCTGTTGTTAAACACATTTTTGAGTTCTTAAATTCACTTGTTAAATTTACAGTTTTTAAATCTCTTTTGAATTTTTAGTTATAGATTCTAATTCTCTTCTGTAATTTTCCAGCTAATTTTTTAATTCTCTCTGGTTCTGCTTTCATTCTCTTCCTCAAGAGTTTCTTCCTCTGGAGTTTCCACTCATTTGTTTATATTTCTTTTATGCTTGATAATTTTTTACTAAATGCTGAATATTAAATATGCAAAATGTAGACCTGATGCTATAGATGACGAAATACTTTCTCTGTGGAGAGGATTTACTTTTGCACCTCAAAGGCAGTTAGAAGAGTGTCAGATAAACTTAATCTATACTGTGTTTGAGCTGATTCAAACCAGGATTTTAGTCTTCATGAAGACTGATCTATTTTTGCTTCACCCTTTTCTTATGGCAGGGCTCAGCAAACTTTTTCTGCATAGGGTTAGATAGTAAATATTTTAGGCTTTGCAAGCCTGTGGTCTCTGTTGCAACTATGCAACCCTGTCATGAAAGCACAAAAACATCCAGGAAAAAATATATAAATTAATGGATGTGGTTGTGGTCCAGTAAAACTTTATTTGTAAAAACAGTGGGTCAGATTTGCCCTGCCGACCACAATTTTCCAATCTCTATCCAAGGATGTAGGGAAATTGTCTCCATGGATCTTATCTCAAAACTTGAGATATTTAGCAAGACCCCTCTATGGGGAACTCTAAACTCCATGTTCTATCTTCCTACTCCTGTGAAACTTCTGTTGGATCTGCTAATCTCAGTTTGTTGGCTACCATATGAATTACCAAACACTCAGAGGGGAAAAGCAACACCAGATGTTGAGTTTACCTCTGTGCACTTACCTTCTTTCCCAGATCTTAGCTTCTAAGATAGTCACCTGGGTGACTCTGATGCCTTCACAGTTTGTTTGTTTTTTTTTTAATTACCTAGTTTTTCTCTTTGCTCTTGGAACAAGTAATCTGGCAAGTGTATGAAGATCTTTTTTGAAATTTAGATTCACTATTGCCTTAACAAAGAGTATAAAAGTCATCCTTATATTTTGGGTTTTGTGTCGGAAATTGTCAGACCAAAAGGGTATACTCAGAATCTAGTTGACTACTCCTCATCCCACCTGTAGTGGTAATTTGTCTTGAATTTGTTCAATTCTCTTCGTACTGACTGCTCTTTCCTTGGTTCTCATCTAAAACAGCCTTCTAATTCTCCCAATATGCCTTGTCTAATTCACTTCCTCATGGTAGCCTAAGTGATTCTTATAAAACATAAATTTGAGCATGTTACCTCTCCTACTTCAGACTCTTTAGTGACTCCTCATTTCCTTTAGAATATAAAAGACAAATTTTAAGATGGCTCATAAGGCCCTTCATGACCTGACCTCTATTTACCTCTCCAACCTAATTTTTAAAAATGTTTTCTTTTAAACTGTACTATCTAGTTCTAATTAACTTCATTCCATTCCTTGAACTGGCCAAATCCTCTCCTACCTCAGTGCTTTTGCACATGATCTGCCTGGGTCATGATCTCCCTTTTAACTTGCCTTCACCTTAAGTCCCTAGTTTTCATTCAAGTCTTAGCTTAGAAAATCTTTTCTGACTCCTAAATTCTTGCCTAGATTCAGAGTGCTGTGTATTTCTTCATTGATATTTCTTATCCCCTTTATACTGAAATTTTATGTGTTTACTTATTTGTAGTCCCTAAACCACTATAAGCTTCAAGGGGCAAGGCTGTCTCTATTCCAGTCTTGTACATCTAGTACAGTGCCTGGGTCATAATAGGTGCTCAGTAGTTGTTTGCTAAAGGAATGAATGAATGAATGAATGAATGAGATGCTTTAAATGCATTTGGCATTATTTATTTTTCATTGTGATGTTTATATTTATTGAGTTTCAGTATAACCTTATTAGCTGGGAAAACAATATTCTTTCTTTCTTTTTTTTTATGAAAGCAGTATTATGTTTTTAAAATGGGCAAATGGGAACAGAGAGGCCAGATGACTTGCTTGGGATTTTTCAGGATGTTTAATGGTGAATGTGTATCTAATCTCTAGGTTCTATAAGTCTCCAGGTAGATGTTAAGATTAGGTACCATAGTTTTCCCTTACTCACTATTTCATTTATTCTTTTACATTCTTACCACTTACCATTCTTTTTTTCTTTATTTTCCCTCCCCCTGTGATTATCATTAAAGCCACACTGAAAGCTAGAGAGATGGTGACACCATGATTAATCAGTAAATTTGAGGATTTGTAGAGAGTTTAATCATTCATCATTTAGCAAAGCTTCCCTTTCCCCCGTGACCTCATGTTAGTCTGAGTTTAGTACGCAGGGGAAGGAGATGTGACAGGTGGTTACCCCTCCCATTATGCATAGAAATTCCAGGAGTTTTTGAGAGGTTGGTTTTTCATATTGTCAAATCACTTTGTAATTGAAACCTGTAATTTAGACCCAGCTTATGAATCCTTATAATTAGATAATAGTAAATAACTTCAAAACTGTGTGTGGTGCCTGGAAATGGGAAATAGATTCCAGATTAACACCTTGTCAGAGTCCTTTGCTACTGACCGTGAGACTATGAAATCATATAATTGTTAAAAGAAGGAAGTTCCTATGTGAAATCCGTAATGTGATGCCTGGAAGCCATCTCCCTGTGAGCTCTTGAAGGGATTATTAAAGGGGAATATTAAATAATATTAAAAAAATAGTTTGTCATTAACTTCCATGCCAAAACCATTTAAAACCCACGTTTGTTATTTTTGTGTGTTTGTGCGGTGGGGGCAAGAGCTGCGCTTTGTTCCTTTGTCTGTAACTCTGCCGTAGAGTGTGCTATCGTCAGCTCTGCTGTTGAGATTCACGCCTGGAGAACAAGGAGGTAGGGCAGACAGTCTCTGGAGGGTTTTCTAAAAACTGCCTCTTGAGGGTTACACAGTGGAGCCCCTGGTCCAGGGAAGAATCTGGAAGTCAAGAGACCAGAAAACGTTGACTTTCCTGGCCCCTGTCCTGGCTTGACTGGAAAGTTTAAGGCCGCTGTACTCATGCCTTTCAGGTAGCATCCTTTTCAAGTGGATAGCCATGGAATCCAAGAAGATCTCAGAGAAGCAGGAGGAAGTTCTTTCTCTCCTGGAAGAAAAATTTCCCAGCTTGCCTCCAAGAGAGGACATTATCAACGTCTTGCAGGAGACCCAGTTCAGTGCTCAGGGTGAGTGACTGTGCCCCCAGCTCTGTCACATCTCCTGAGTAGGGGTGGTGTGTTGTATGGGGTGTTGCAGGGGCCCCCCGGGGTGAACCTGAGTGCGCCTTCGCTTTCTTCCCTAGTGTTCGTGCTTGTGGAAGACTTTCAGCCACAGCACGTTGGCTCACCTGGAGGCGGGCAGCCTGTTCAGCAGGCTCTCCTCTGAGGCCTTGTGCCTGGATGTGTGGTTAATTCATGTAGCTAATGGGCACCCCAGCTGCATCATTATGTGAAATCCCTGTGCTGGGAGGGTTCTATTTTGAGAATGTGGCAGGACCAGTGTCAAGCACAATGGGATTTCATAAGTCAATTAAATTTAGGGACAAAAAAAAGAAGACTCCTAAGCAGGTAAGTGTTCTGTAGGTCTCGGCTTTGTCGAGAGAGTGGATTCCCTGGCTTAATTGTTTTATAACAACAACAACAACAACAACAACAACAATAATAAATAGCTATAGTTCACTGAGTGCCTAATCTACACAAGGTTCTGATGGTGTAGCTTTGCATGGATTCATTTACTGTCCTCACGACAGCCCTGTTCAGGTGGTATTCTTATCATCCCAGATTCCCAGATGAGAACACTGAAGCACAGAAAGGGATCTTTGCTTTCCCGTCATCATTTGCACAGCTGGCAAGTCTATCTTTAAGGTGCATAGGTTTCTCCCTTAGTTCGGGATCCCCCAGAGGGCAGAGCCTGAGGCAAAGCAGTTAATTTGGGAGGTGATCCCTGGAAACACTGAAAGGGCATGGAGTGCTTTTTCAAGCAAGGTAGCTTTGTGGGAAACCAGACCTTCACCCTCCTAGGGAACTCTAGGAAAGAGTGTAAAATTGCACCTCAGTGTTTTTCCACCCAGGGGGAGCAGTGGTGTGCTGAAAGTTGTTCATCGGTGCTCCAGAAACTGATTGTTCAATTTTCAGAAATTTTGTGATTTGGTTGATGTTGGGTTGGCATGTTGAAATCAGCCATGGTGGAAGGAAGTATCAACACCACAGAAATCAACAAACACTGCAAATCAGGTTTTGTTACTGGCTGTTAAACATTTATGGGCAAACCACTGGAATGTTGAGGGCTACTCAGTCCCAGGGACTGACTCCCCCAGGGTGGGCTCTGGTGGCCAGAGAAAGGCCTCGGGGAAAGAGAGGCAGGTGTTAGTGGTGGAGGGGCACGCTGGACACAGTGCACTGGGAAAGTCTCGAGAAATGTGGGCGGGGCACCAAGGCACCTGCCACACCTCCTGTTACACATGCACACGTGTGGATGTACATGGGTGTATGTCTGCATGATGGTATGCATTTTGTCATTCATTTTCAAAACTAGACCAAACTTTTAATGTCACCATATATTTTATAAATCATTTCATACATTAGTATGATAGATTGTGACCTTTTAGTCTTTGAGTTGAAGAAAAGTATTTAGTACCTATCTGTTTCCCCATACTGCTGTGATTGACAGTGTTCTAAGTTGGGAGGGCACGTAGTGGACTCTGGTGTCTTAACGTGCATCTGGGAAGGAGAAATGTACTCTGCTGGGCTTTATTGTGGATCTTCTTCCCAAGAGCTTAGACCTAAGTGGATATAATAATCTAGGGTGTGAAATGTCAAGCCAGACCCTCTCCTGTTTTTCAGTGATAGATTTTATCGAAGCATGTTGGTCAGCTGACTCAAACTATGCCGTTCTGGATAATTTATCCATTTTGGATTATTCCTGCCGTCCTTGAAGGAATCCTATAGCTCCTATTGCCAGAGCCTATTACAAGGGTGACCAACTAAATTATGATAGGTTTAGGGTCACATTTATAAAGTGCATTTGGAATAAAATTACATTTGAAAATACGGAGCTTCCCCTAAATGCGTCCTGAAAGCAAATTTTGGCCTCGTTAGGTATTATTTGGTTATTTGCATGGTTTGCTAGTTTTTTTTGTCATTTACCCACCTCCTCCCTTCCGTTCCCTAATTTTGTCTGCTGTGGGCTTCCAGTCTGACCTCTGAGCATTTAATCTCCTGGGCTCCCCTAAAGATTACTGGCTTCTGACTGTGTTTGGTCTGCGGGAAGGGTTAGCAAAGGAAAAGAGGGAGGCTGCAGTATTTTCTCCCTGCTGCCTTCCTGGCTTGGCGCTGAGTTTCTGGCAGCCCCTCTTCTACTGTTCCAGATCCCTCTTTCCTTCCCTGGATCCTCTGCCAGTCTCTGGATGCCTCACCATCTTTCATGTGTTTTCTCAGTCCCGCCCACATCTCTGTAAGTGTCCTGCCATTAAAGAATCTTCTTTTGCATCGTGAGAGGTGAATTCTGTTTGCTGCTGGGATCCTAACTGTTGCAAATATTGTCACTAATGTGCTTTTTGCCCTGATATGTGTGTGTTTATTATGGTTAAAAGAGATGTGAGAGGGGAAATATTGAAATTAACAGGCTGACTTCTTTAAATAATCCCTTGATATTATCAAAAATCTTCCCCAAGTATAACATACTGTTTTTCCCTCTCATGCACAGGTTTAAGTATTGAACAGACAATGCTGAAGGACCTCAAGGAACTTTCAGATGGAGAAATAAAAGTGGCCATTAGTACCGTGAACATGACATTCGAGGTAAGGGTGGGGAAACTTTTTTACACAATTGCGTTCTGAGCAACTGCAGTATAGTTCTCTTGACTGCATAAGTTAGTGTTAGTCTTTTGCTATGAGTGCTTCTTTGTGATATATTTGACTGGGAATGCAGGTTATTACTTTGAGTGAAAACACTATACTAAATCAATGAAAAATGCCAAACCTGGATTCCCAAGATGAGTGCTGTTTCATTCATCTCAGTAAAACAAAACCTAAAACAAACACTCCCGTTTGTATACACTTGTCTGTACATATATGGGTAGCCTGTTTAACAACAACGATTATGTGCGTGGGTAGATTCCCTTCCTCTTTCTGTGCACTACCCTATGTTGTCCGTAGACTTTTTTCTAAGAAACCAAGTTGTCCTTTGGCTTGTGCAAGCTGTCTGGATGCATGTCATTTTGGTAATCAACAGTGACAGTGCGAGTGTTGATAAGACCCTCCTTCCAGTTTGTTAAGTGAGTGACCCAGGGTGAGTGCTCCTCTGGTCTTTGTGTGTTCCCTTGGTAAATGGTCTTTTGTCTACTCTGGGGGTTTTCAATGACTTGTGTGTTAATGTTAATTAACCTAACTAATGGGAATTACATTTTACAAAGGCACAGTTGTACCATGCAGAAATCTGAGTATTTTTTATTGTTACACTGTCTTGATCAAGCTACTCACCTTTAACTGAGGCACTGAACTCTCAAGTCAAGTTTACGGGCATAAAAATTGCAGTATAGGCACTTGTCTTTTGCATTTTAGAATTGTACGTTGCTTTTCTTTTTATTTTTCTCATGGTGGTGGTGACTGTATCGGTGTGTGTATTTCTAGGGAACAGCAGGCATGCATAAGGGTGTCTCCACCTCAGAAAACCCAACAGCAAACCAGGCACCTTTTTCTATGATTTCCTTGTAAAATTTGTTCCTAGTTGATTGACATTGTAGTTCAGCTCGTAGACCCATGTGAGTACCAGGAGGGAGAGTGTTATCACTAAAGATACCCAAGCTTGGTGGCAATACAGTGCCTCCTAGTTTACAGAGCACATTCTCATTGCCTGTAGAAACTCAACTGTTTCTATGGACTTTCAAATTGATCAAATGCTCCATGTAATTAGATGATGTTGTGACTCAAAACAAGAAATGCATGCAATTTGGATGTAGTAACTAGATAATCACCTTCAATTAGAAATCTGCTTTGTGTCTAGAAATCCAAGGAAGACGTGGATCTTGCAAGGGTCAGTAGCTCTGAGAATCATCTCTCCCAGTTCAGGCCTTAGGGTTTTCTCTCTCTTTCCGCCCCCCTCCCCTCTCTCCCTTCATTTAATGGCATCTTATTAGGTTTTAAATGCCTTGTTTGGAATTCCTTTCTAAATTAATGTAGATCATCTTGTAATTGCTTAGGGAACTGTCTGTAGTTAGCAAATTATTTTAAAGCTATTATTATTATAGACTTACTGTAGCTTTAATGTACCTTCATTTATATTATAGGGATATACAAATGGCTTTGTCAGATATGTTAAATTGTAAATGTTTATCAAGCTGAGTAAGTGATAAAATGATCATCTTAATCTTGACAGTAATTTACATAGAGGTCCAGTAATTAATCAGGCAGCTAAGTACATCTCTGGAAGAGCTATATGATCTTCTGGGAGGAGAGAGAAGGACATTTATGTATATAAAGAAGGGTGCACAGATTAAACTCTAATCAGCTAAGTGAGAGCTTTTCACTTGTGAATAATGGGGATATTGAATATGACTGAGAAATGGAAAAGAAATTCCTTAGTAACGTTGTATATCTTCTTTGAAAGAGAAGATGCACATTATTTATTTAATCTTTTAGTTGGAAAAATCCCCAAGTTAAAGGCAGAGTTTTGTGTTCTCCACAGATCATCTTAACGATACAGTGGCATTTTCACAGTCTCTATATTTGATTTTATTTCAGCATTCCTTCCGCATTCCCATTTAAAAATCATGACAGGACCCCCACTATCTTATTCTGTGTTTTGTAACTGCCCTTTAAATCTAGACATATTCTCAAAGAAATGTTTTTAATTCCTCTGGCTTTCTAAATCTCACCTTGTCATCCAAAGCATGATGGAGACCTAGCTGTTTCACGATGGCTCTTAGAAATTCTCCTTTTTCTATTACCACCCTTTAAACTCGAAAATTTTAGTTTAAATGACCAACTTAGGTCTAAATATGTACTATATCTTTCATTAATTTTGAACTTGTTTCAACTATTTAATCATGGCTAGACGATGTTTTAAGTTACCTGGGGAAAAAGATGGCATCATTGACTTCTGTCTTCCTGACACAGGGTGGGCACATAGTAGATACTTACAGATACTTAGTTATTAGTCATAAATACAAATACTTCGTGCATGTTGGTGTCTGCCATTTGTTCCTTTGATAGCTGCTTTTTATTTCCTTTTT